GACATATTGGAAAATGTGATGATTTTCCTTACAGTAGTGCCTGCCCTCAGGGGCATATTTTCAGATATTAAAGTTACTGTTGTTAGAATAGGTTCACTAAAATAGCTTCTCAGTGTTAACAATATTCTTATGATCCTTTAGACATGTGATCATTTAGACATTTGAGCTTATGAGGAAAAAAAATATAAAATGAGCAATTTCTTCATAGACAGTCAGCTTGTGAATTTTACTTTAACTTGAAGTTCAGTTGCTCAAGAAAAGTATAAAACTTAAAAGGCATGTGAGGCCTTTTTAGTGTGCTATTGATGTTATAGTAGGGCTTGGTATAATATAGTTCAAAATTGAATTTCAAAAATGTAACAGTTTACATTAGAAAATTGTTACAGAACTATGAAGCATATAAAAACATACCTAAATTGGTATGGTGGTGGTGGTGTGTGTGTTTTCTAGTTCTCCAGTTGAAGTTAAATACAGATTTTGATTACATTGCAGTGAATTCAAAACATTCTATATGCTTAAGCTTTGACTATGTTGACTATGAAAAGTATATGTATATATTGAGGAGACCTACTAAACCCACACAAACCACAAAGAAAAATTATTTTTCTGTTAGAATTGTTTATTAAATAGGCATTGTTTATATTGTATTTGTACTTTCAAATATAATTTGGGGTTTTGGTCCCATTTACTATGAGAATGAAAGATGTCTGTGAGTTAAAGACAATGGACAAAACTGAAAAGTTCAAATCTAAAGCTTCAGAAAATAGAGGCTTCTTTTATGTTTTACAACATTTTCAGAACATTGACACTTAACGCTGACTTAATTCTCAAGTGCAGAAATCTACATGTAAGTGGTTTTATGATTCTTTCTAAGCTGATATATTTTGCCTGTTAAAAATTATGCTGCTCCATTAGTGTTAGAGGCCTTATGTTTGGTAATTACAAGTGTCTGAGCTATATGAGTCTCTCTATGTGTCTGTGTTTTGTTCCTGTTCCTTGATTCAAATTTCTGTATAATTGTACACAATATTTACAAAGTAAAGGGGTCAAAGGAGGTTGCTAAATATCTGACAAGAATCCTAAATACCTTTATATGTAAAAAGTACTGGACATGATTATGCTGACCAGTCTGCCTTTTAGCCTGACTCCTTCACTCTAGTTTTATGGAAGTCTGTTGGAAACTTTTCCAATAAGCTAAGTATTGTTGTATCTTGCAAAAAAAAGAAAAAGAAAAATGCCACCACTCTGAGAAGCAGGGCCTTATAGAGTGGGAATGTTTTCATACTGGGACTACTGAGATTTTGCAGATGTGTGCATCTGTTCCATTTAAGGTGCCCTTAAATGTGTTGAATGTAATGTGCTGAATGTTTATGTGCAATTGATAAAGTATCTATATGTATGTGCATAAGATTGTCACAAGATGTATTCTCAGGAACACTGTTACCTGGAGTTTGAAGGAATAGCTATTTTAAAACTAGTGCTGGAAGATTAGAAAAATGTTTAAGATATGAACAATTTTTTGCAGTGTTCAAAATATTACTGAGTATATGACTGAAAATCACTATAGAAGATAAACACAGTATTGGTAATACTAGATCATTTCTTAAATTATGATGTTTAATGATATTTATCTTGTTCAGAGGAAAATTAAAACAGGCACCTACTTCCTGTGTATAAAAAATTGGACTTAACTGAGGGGTTGCTTTTTTCAGAAATGAACTTTTGAAAGACAATGGAATAAACACGTATCATCCATGATAGTGGGTGTAGATTTTACACTACTCAGTTTCAATTAAAACAGTTCAAATCCTGGGTACAGCATTTTCTAGCAAAACATCTTACTCTCATTTTTCATTATTTGCTGCTTTCTATAATTCTATAAGATCAGTTATTCTATTTTTCCCCCCCAAAAACCAGGAAACTGAGTTGTTGAGTGCATTGGGGCAAGGATTAGGAACTAGTGTGAAAAGGCATAACTGAGCAATGCTGGGGGAACAATCTGGTGTTTGCGGGTCTGCTGAGAGCCTGTTAAACAGGCTGGAAGTAACTGGTTTGCTATTTCAGGCCTATAGGAGTACCTAAGGCAGTGTGACATCTCCTCCCTTCTTTAGCATCTGTCCCTTTAGTCAATGAAGAACATTCTCCACTCTGCTGTCCAATTCCAACTGTATCTGAGATGAGAATAGGATGTGTATAGGGACTTAGGAAAGAAATGGTCAGGAATAGAATTACTGTCTAAAACACAAATACCCTTCCTCAAGTTATACTGGATACTTTATAGTCTCCAGAATTTGCTGCTATCACACTGAATCTTGCTGTTGCCCTGTGACCTCACACTTCCCATTCCATGGCTTGTCCTTGGTAGTGAGTAGAAGGTCCCACTTCCTCATTTGCTTTAGTGGGCCTCGACTGCAGCAATTCAGACATAGAGTTTGGTTTCACACTCAGGACAATAAAAAGTTAAGGGTAGAATGTATTTGGAAAAGCTTAATGCAAATTTACTTATTTTAGGATCATTTAGCATTACAGATCAGTGTACCTCCATAATATTTTTCAATAGTCACTGTGACTGAAGGATAAAAATCCTTTATTAGCCATTTTATAGGTTAAAAAATGATTGATTATACAGCCCACTTCCCTCAGATGACTAAGAAGTCTATTATGAATACTGGATGACCAAAGAGCATGGAAAAATGCATATGAATAAATACTGAGATGTTTATGGAAGATATTTATGAAAGATATTAAGACTTCTGTGTTTGAATATGCACATATATAATAAATCTAAAAACATTTAAGATGACTGATTGTTTCATTTCTCATTTCTTAACACAGTTTAACTCATTCAGGAAAGTATTGCTTTTGGATCCCTGGGGTATGCCTTGATGTCTCTCCTTAATCCCCTAGCCTGGCCTGAGCTCACCCTTCAATTAGACACCTCCAATTCCTCCCTCCATCTTCATCGGAGTTCCATTCTACTCATGCATTCCACCCTTAACTTTCAAAATAAAGCAGAATGGGCATATTGGGAGACAGATACCCCAGCTTGCCGTCTCTGCCCAGGTTATGACCTGGAATGCCTGGAAGATTTCCCAGGGGGAATGTTAAGGACCTGGTTGTTTTCTGAATGTAGCCAGAACCACTATGGGGTTCAAGTTACTACCAGTCTGCCTTCTATACAGAGTACAAAGTGCCCTATCCTTACCCTCTAAGGTATGTTCTTGCTAAATCTGTTTTCCCTCACATGGTGGTATTTTCTGGCTTTTCCTGATCCAAAGACTCTAGACACATTTGGCAGAAGAATAGACACTCTTTTACCTCTTCTCGATTGTGTCTGAACAGCAAATAAACAGATTACAATTTGTCGATGAGCATTCCTGAGAGGGAAAAAAGAAGACAACAAGCAGGATAAGGGCCAAAAGAAGAGAAGGAGAGTAGTAAAAATAACCACCATCATTTTGTTCTGAGCAGCAGGTATATTGTGTGGGGAACATCACCTGGATTTGCTTATTGTCACAATAATCCTAAACACTGGACACTATCTTAACAGTTGAGAAAACAGATGAGGCAGGGAGAAGTGACTTTCCAGGTCACTGTGGACGCAGAGAAGATTCATTTGATGTGAACCCCTAAGAAGGAATTTATTTGCTAAGATGGACTCCCCATGGTCAACTGAGGGCCCCAAATTTGCATTTTATTTTTATTTTCCAATTGCAGCTAACTTTCAATATTATTTTGTATTGGTTTCAGGTGAACAGCATAGTGGTTAGACACTCCTATATTGTATAAAGTGGTCTCCCCAATATTTACAGTACCCACTTGGCAGCATACATAGTTATGGGAATATTATTGACTGTATTTCCTATGCTGTACATCCCCATGACTACTCTGTGACTACCAATTTGTTCTTCTCAATCCATTCACGTTTTCACCCAGTCCCCCAAACCCCCTCCCCTCGGGCAACCACCAGTCCGCTCTCTGTGTCTGAGTCTGTTTCAGTTTTATTTGTTCATCTATTTTGTTCTTTAGATTCCATATATAAGTGAAATCATATATTACAACAGATGAATGGACCTAGAGGATACTATGGTCAGTGAATATATCAGTCAAATAATAAGAGCCTACTGGCCACTTGCTGAGGGAGGGTTTCTCACACGCACTTTATACCGGAAAGAACCTTAGACTGAATTCTAGGCTTCCTGCGCTCCCCTTGGTCTTTCACTCCCACGGAGTCAACTATTACAAGGGGTTTCATCTTTCCACCTATGGACTAAGACCTGCCCAGTCAGATCAAAACTGCCCCAGGACGGCCAATCAGGATGCATAATGCTGACCAATCAGGACTCCAGGATTCAGACCAATCAGAAGTGTTTGGATTTGGATACCTCATTTACATAAAACGGACCTAATTGGAAACTTGGGCAGGAATTTTTTTCTTATATAAGGCAGCCTCCCCTTTGTCTCAGCGGGACACAATTCAGATTTATGTGAGTCTGTGTCTCTTGTAGCTCCGTTCCTCAACTACATGCTTTTTATCCCTTATTACAATCTAAAATTAATTTCGGCTCACCTCACCCAGCTAGTGTCTGGCGGGGCTATGATTCGGCCCTAAATCTGACTCCTCCAGCTCTTAACACGAGTTAAAGGAAAGAGATATAAGGAAAAAGTGGCTTTTGGTTTGTTTTTTAAGGGTAACAAGAGATGGAGAGGAAAGGAAAGGCATACAAACGACGGAGAAACAAATGGTAAAGCCAAGGTAAGGAGGAAAAGAAAATATGGGAATGTAAGGTGGAAAAAGCTTAAAAAACTCTGAGTTCTGAGAGGACTAAGGCCTGGTTCAAATACCAAGGTCAGGGCAGGAGCCTTCATGCGAGGCCCCGCCCCTAATAGTTTCACGCTAATTGCCCCGCCCCCTGCGGGAAGGCGGGACTTCCTCCTCCCCGGGCAGCTGCTTCCGGTAGAGTCCGGAAGACTTTCAGGGGAAGAGGCCGTGTCAAACCTGAGCAGCCAATCGGGGCGACGCCTTCGTCTTGCCCGGGACTCGTGAGGTAACTTGCTCTTGGGAACCAACACCATGGCGTCTGGCTGCAAGATTGGGCCGTCCATCCTCAACAGCGACCTGGCCAATTTAGGGGCCGAGTGCCTCCGAATGCTGGACTCTGGGGCCGATTATCTGCACCTGGATGTAATGGACGGGTAACTCCGCGGGGCTCGGGTCGGGGCTGCCGCGCGGGCGGGAGGGGCGCACCTGGACGGAGCGCCTGTTGGGTGCACGGCGTTCCCGTGCGCGGAGCCTCCCTCGGCGCGGTGGAGGAGCGGGACCGGGCTGGAAGCGCGGAGGCCCTGCCCGGAGCGGAGCCGAGGCGGCGCGGCGGGCCGCTCCTGCGTCCCCGTGCTCTCTCCCTCTCCCCGCCGCGTAGCGTGTGGGCTTCCAGCACCTGAAGCGACCTTCAGCCTCCGGGACACGTCTCTCACTTGCAGTTAGACAAGCGGAGGCCCAGGGGATAGGCATGACTTGCCCAAGCTCATATAGGTAGTTAGTGGCAAAGCTGGGGCGACGCCTTGGCACCTGGGGTGAGAGCGCCCGGGTTCCGCCACCTGCCGGGATGGGCCGGGACTAGCCATTTAACCTCGCCGGCCGTCGGCTTCATTACGTGAAAAAACGCGAGTAATGGAACCCACGGCGTCGGCATCCTTGGGGGATGACATGAGGCGGCGGGTCGAGTTCTCCGTGCCCGGCATGGGGTACACTCTGTGATTGTTGGTTGTGTCATTGTTCGGATTTCGATTTTGCTGTCCATTGTCAGACACCCTGCTCTCCAGGGAGTCAGTTTTTTGTAAGCAATTTTTAAGCACTGTTGTTACAGCACGTAGTCAATATCGGTCGGAACCAGGATGATGCTAATTTCTTAACTTGATTATAAAATGCGGAAACAAACCTAGAGAAAGCAATGAGAAGCGTCTAGATTACTCAACCTTGTGACAGTTGCCGCTTGGGTCTTCTTGGGTTTGCCAAGTAGTTTTCCGAACCTCACTAATTACTGGCCATAAAATCATTAACAGCCTTTACGTTGGATTAGGGTAGGAAAACACATTTATTTTAAATAGGTAAGATCTCTGTGTGCCCTCATGCAAATTTGTAAATTGTGTCATTTACAAAAGATATCAGTTACTTCTCTTTTTAATGTCATTCCTCTTATAAGAGTTTTGTCTTCCTTTGTTCTGTCTGGTTAAATCGGTGGTTTCTCTCTGCGTTCCACCCAGTTACCTTACTGCTGTGACCAACTGATTATGGCAAAATCTTGACCTTAGAGTGCTCTAAGAATTCTAGGCTAAGAGTGGAAGAAAATGAGTAGTTATTACCCCTCACAAAAGTTTGACTTAGTTTGCTGTTGTATGTAATTCCAGTTACATACTTTTGGACAACTGCCTGAAAGCCTTGGGCTTTCACAGGCAGTATTTCTGAAGGGGGTGTGTACCTCAGAGGTGGGTAGCTGCATTTTTCTTTCTGAGACACTTGGGTGTTCTGGATAGAATAGGCTGCACATACACGTATGTAGTTTACCTGACACCGAAAACAATGTGGTTTTAAATAAGTCGTGTTCACCAAAATTGGGAATATTAACAATAACAATAGCTCTTAACCGTTTCTGTTCTGATGCTTTTTGTGAATTAACTCACACAGTCTCAAGAAGTTGGTGCTGTTATTGGCACCAGCATTTGACACTGAGGCATCCATTGCAGAGCGATGGAGTTGACTGTCAGTGGTTTCATAGCTAGCAAATGGAGAAGCCAGGATTGGAAGCATGCAGCAGCTTGTGTTGTCTCAGAAATTAAATGTCTTCTGTGGGGAGTGGGCCTACAGAGAATGAGAAAGACAATCTCTGTCCTTACTGAGCAACTAATAATGTATACACTATTTTTGTTCCTTATTTCATATCTCTCCTGCTACACTGTAAGCTCCCTGATAACAGAACAGGGTCTGTCTCTCTGGTTCAGCTCTGTATTCTCTGCAGGTAAAGCACCATGACAAGCTTTGTTATAGTTGGTGGGATGAGCTTAAGATAAAAGTATTTGTTTTTATTGACTCCTCTCTCCTTCTTCCAAGAAACATCTTGGTTTGAAAAAACTAAATTCTGCATACACCATTTAAATACCTTTCCCTTTTAAGCTTCAGAACTTTTTGAGCCAACAGCTCAGCTATTCCTGTTCCCCTACTGCAAAGGAGGAAACCAGTTTAAGGAGGGTTCAGCCTCTTCCTGACTGTCCCACCAGAAGAGGTGAAGCCAGACTGAGCTGCAGTGTCTCCTGGGCCAGGGGTATGAAAGCAGGGGACTCCCCTTCCCAAGGTGGCCTACCACAGTTTACCTTCCCTCCAATGCTGCTTCCATGATTCCTTCTCCTGGCTCCCTTTAAAAATCTCTAACATTACACTGAGTGTGTTGTTTTTCTGGTCCCCTACTTTTACACTGAGACTTCCATTTCCCCTCTGATTAAAACTGAATGTCTTCAGCTTGAAAGTCAGAGACAAGTTCTGGAAACACTGTGGGGGGTGGGGCACTAGTATAGTTAAAGAGCAAGAGGAAAAGAAAATTAGAAATCATAAATGCATTATGACAAGACAGTAACTGAGAATGTGTTGGTCCTAAGTGTGGAAACAGCAAATAAGCAAGTTCTAAATTAATTACCAGAATTTAAAATTGGGAAGATTTCTTATTAGTACTAGATTTTTTACTTTTGGAAAGCATCCAGAGGTTTGCCAGTACTGGGTCCACAGTCTCACAAGGCCCCAATAGGCTGGAACTGAATTGTAGCCGCCATTAGCCAGGCCAGATGTTCTTCATTTGTCACATCTCCATCTCTCTGTTTTGCTCTGTGTTACCTGCCAGTCCTCCTAGGCACACGAGTTTGTGATTCCTGGTTCACAGGAATTGTTTTCTGGTTCTTATCATCTTTGCCTTTGTGAGAGATCTGGTAAAGGTTTGATCTGTCTGAAATAGATTGCATGAGTTATAAACAAAGCTTAGGGTTGATGAAACATGATGAAAGATACAATAATTGTATTGCTGTGTTATAGTAAATAATTATAGTTTAATTTCAGTAAGTTTTTTTTTTTTGCGGGGGAGGTTATTGCATTTTATTTTTTGCAGATTTTACTCCCAAAAGTATCTTTGAGGGAAAAAAGAAGGTAATGTAATATGAAGCAGACTTCCTTGATGAAATTTCTCTTCATTAGAGTGAAATAATTTAGTGTTTTCTAAGCTGATATGATAAGAACCCCTGTCACTGAAGAATTCATATTCCCAGGTCCTCTTTGGAGTCAACAGACCTGGAGTAGAGCCTATAAACCCTTTTGTTGCAAGTGCTACCGTGGTTACTGTTGTCAAGCAAATGTGGGGTCATCCTGACTTCATGTTTGGGTTTGTAGCCTTTTTTTGTTATGCCTTAGCTGTAAGCCTTTGGATTCTTAGGGTATTGGTGTGGTTTTGTTCTCCCAGTGTCCTTGGTGAACCTAGTGCATTTAATTGCTCTTCAGTAGTTCAATTGGTCATACTATTTGGGGGTCAATAGTTTTATGTACTCTGCTTCTGTTTCCCAATAAAGTAAAAGTGTGTTTGTTTTATTCTCATATTTTCTCAAGATATGGTTAAGCTTATCTTCATTATAAATGAAACCTAAGTTTAAGACAACAAAATATAGGCATACCTCGGAGATATTGTGGGTTCTGCTCCAGACTGCTGTAGTAAAATGAGGATCGCAATAAAGAGTCGTCATTGTCTTTTTACTGGTGGAGGGTCTTGCCTTCAGTTTGTGTAAAAATAACAGTAAAAATAAAAAGTAAATCACATATGGAGCACAATAAAACAAGGTATGCCTGTACTTCCAAGGCCACACAGCAAATTAAAAGAACAGTGAACGAAATACAATACAAATCTTTCAATTCCAGAGTTGTATGATATTCATGAAGCCTCACTGCCTGCTTCTCTAACACTTAACTTACAACTTGGAAGGAAACGTAATAAACCTGTTATCTATAACCCTAGCAGTCCTTGCTCTTAGGTGAATGGTAGAACGAGTCCTAAGTTCTAAAACCCAACCCTCCAAGGACCAAGGCGCTGTGAAAGTGTCTGTACCCATCCACCTTACCAGTCCCTCTCAGATGTGTCCTGAATCCCGACCTCTCCCTCCTAAGTCTCTCCTTACCTGGACTTTCTTTTTCTGTTATTAGTTTGTTTGTGGAGGAGCAGGTGGACATATAAAGAGCTTGGACTTTGGAGCCAGGTTGTATTTAATGCCTGCCTCTAGCACTGCCTGGTTGTGTGACCTTGAGCCTCTTTTCCTCATCTATAAAGAACAGATAATATAGTATCTACCTCATAGAGTTGTGTGGTTTTAATGAGTTAATATAGGGGAAGTGTTTAGAATGGTGCCTATATATATATATATGTGTGTGTGTATATATATATATATATTTTTTTTTTTTTGCATTTATCTTCAGATAGAGTGGGAGGGTGTGGGGGTGGAGAGAGAGAGAGAAACATCCATGTGAGAGAGACACATTGACTGGTTGCCACCCACACGACCCCAACCAGGGCTGGGGACAAACTGCAACTGAGGTACATACCCTTAGCGGGAACCGAACCCAGACTCTCTGGTCCCTGGGCCGATGCTCTAACCGCTGAGCAAAACTGGCCGGGGCCCCATATGTGTTTTAATGTTTTATTGACACTCATTCTACCTGTCATCTAAACTTAAAATCTTAACCATGGTGTATTCTCTATCTTCACCGCCCCACCCCCACCCCATCTTATCAGTTAACAAATCCTATCACTGGTAGCTGTCTTTGTTTCCATTGTTATTGTTCCTTGCCATTTGCCAGCACCTCTTACCTCCCTTCTAATTTACTGCCCAGTCCACCTTCCTACTTTATTTGCACCTTGTATTTTATTTGCTTCTTACTTTAAAACCTCACTTCATATTTATAACAGGATGAAGCCCAAACACTGAGCCCAGCATTTGATACCCTTACTGTGGCATAGTCTGCTTCCTGCCTTTTTCACACTAGCCAAGCTGTTCGACACCATCTTCCTCCTTCTTCAACATAACTTGTTTATTTCTGCCTTTGCTTTATTTCTTTTACCACCTTTAAAATTCTGTTTGTTTGGTAAATCTCATGATCTTACCCCCTTTTGTAAAGTGCTATACTATTGCCTCTGGAACCGTTTACCTCATATTTGTCTACCTGTTATTGTTTAGCTTTTCCTGCAGTCCTCATATAGGGTAATACCTATTACTTTTAACAAATAAAACCCATATTTCAGTGACTTAACATTATAAAGTTTATTTCTCATTCATGTAACATTTCACTGTGAATGTCATTCTATGTGAAATTCAGGGGCATGGACTCTTTTTATCCTGTGGCTGCCATTCCTTAAGAGCTTCATTATTGGCACAAGGGTAAAGTGAGCAAAATACTACTTAACCTACTGGGCTTTGCAGTGACACATATCACTTAAACCCATGGTCCACTGGTGAAGACTAGTCACATGGGCCAACCAGATGTAAAGGGAGTTGGGAAATGTGGTCCTTGGTTGACTTCGTTGGCCTCCTATCAACTATACTGTAACAGTAGGTCATGAATTTTGGTGAGTTATTAGGCATCTCTTGCCAATGAGATTGTAGCATTTCATGGGCTAAGCAGAAATTCTTGTTAATGTGTTTTTATTGATTTTAGAGAGAGGAAGGGAGAGTGAGAGAAAAGAAAATCATTGATGAGAGAGAGAAACATTGATCAGCTGCTTCCTGCACGTCCCCCCACTGGGTATCAAGCCCACAACCTGGGTTGTGCCCTGACCGGATATCCAACTGATGACCTCTTGGTGCATGGGACGATGCTCAACCAACTGATCCACACCAGCCAAGGTCTCTTGCATATATTTTTATAAAATCCAGTATTCTAAAGCTCCCATCATGGTACTAGATGGAACACAAAGACTAACAGGAGTAGGATGATGGTTAAGTACTTTGGATCTGATACTGGGAGACTTAAGTTGAATCTTTCCCCCCACAAATAATTAGCTTGTTGACTTAAGGAATTTATTTATCTTATGTTCTTCATATAATAACACATCTACTTCATAAGGCTGTTGTGAAGATGAAATGAAGTATAAGGTACCATACCTGGCATGTTGCAAACCCTCAGTAGATGGTGGTTTTTAGTGTATACATTAAGTTTCTTTATTGATGATCTTTAAAAAAGTTTAAATAAACAGTCATTTAATGCCCTGTAGTACAGGTGGATTAGAAGTAGCCTCAGGCAGCCTGTGACAAACTAGGATATGAAAGACCTATGTTACAGTCCAGGACTTTCTAACTAGTATATGACTTGGGCAAGTCATATAACTTTCGGGGTTTTGATTTTGTCATTTTTCTAGTTCTACCCATCAGGGACTATGAATTACAGAGTTAAAGCATGTGACATTATTGTGATTTGTTCAAATATCAAGGAGATACTGCTTTGTAAAGCCAAAACTATCCAGATATTTTTAGTATTGTTTAATACTGATGATGTTAAATATTGAATTGAAAAATAGTACAATCACAGACATTCCCCTCTACCCCTATCAGAGTACATATTGAGAAAAATACAGAAACTGAATTGAAAATATTTTCAGAGTAAGATTTTGTTTGTCTTATAGGCATTTTGTTCCCAACATCACCTTTGGTCACCCTGTGGTAGAAAGCCTCCGAAAGCAGCTAGGCCAGGACCCTTTCTTTGGTAAGTGGGTGTTACGCCATCTGAAGTTGGGTGTGTTGCTCAAGTAAAGGAAAAGGTGGTTGATTTCTCAACTTTCAATTTCATCTGGAACCCTTTTTCCCCCTCTCTCTGTACTGGGGCTTCATTGGCTGCCTGTAATAAGCCAAACTTTCCTGTCTGGGGGCTTTGGAACTTTTGCTAATTTCTTGCCTGGAAAGCTATTCCCTTGGCCATCTCTCCTCATCTTTTGGCCTAGGATCATTTCTCATTTCCTCAGAGGCCTTTCTAAGCACCTTGTCTTAAATTAACCCTCATCCAGTTATCATATCGCCTCTGGATATTCTTCTTAGAACTTCCTTTAATCTGAGATTTTTATCGGACTATAAACTAACTGATTGTAGGGATTTCATCCACTTTGTTTACTGTGGTTTTCCTAGAGCTAAGCATAGACACAAGATTGAAACTCAGTGTAATGTTAAATGAATTTATGAATTGATTGATTTATGGTCTAGAAATGAAGCCAATTATTTCATGCAGATTGGAGCTTTCTGCAAGTGGGACCTATATATTTTCTCACATTAATGCTCTAGGATAATTTAATGTAGATTTTTAAGATCACACAGTAACCTTGAAGTTACTTCTGATGGAGCATGAACTCAGCCCAGCTGTTGTTGCTGCGCTTTTAAGCATCTTCTCACTTGCCAAATCTCTTGTATATATGGTTCTCAGTAGCATTAACCATATTGCACGTTCTCAGCCACATGTGGCTGGTGACTGCTGCATTGTGCATTGCCTCTGTAGGACATTGCCATCATCTGAGAAAGTGCTGTTGGACAGAGCCTCTCGATAGTGTCCATCACTTTGAGTGTACCCAAAAAAAAGGGGGCATTATTGCCTAATTTATGTGGAAAGAAGAGAACAGTGTTCCACAAACATGTTCGCCGTTTTGAAATTTTCAAATAATGGGATATAATCCTCTGATAATCTAAACTTATTTTTTTTATTACATTTTGGAAAATGAATTTTCCAATATAAATTTCTTCTTATGACTATCAGCAGTGGATGAATTAAGGACCAATGTTTGCCTCCACTGTACAATGGCCACAGAGTGCTCTGCTTCTGGCTTTGTGTGGATTAAAAAATGTTTTCCCTTTTCTCTGCCTTTCATTTGGGCTCCTGTTGTCACTTCTCCCTGCTGTTTGTGTCTCCTATATCAGTGCCTCTCCTCCTACCAGCTCTACCACCACCACTCACACAATCTGCTTGCTTTTCCTGGTTTAGCTTGTTATTTGCTGATAAACTTACTAATTAATCTTTCTAGAATTGGGTCTAAAATAAAAATAAATGGCCTCTGTGTGCTTTAATGGTTGGGTTTTGTGATCTTTGCTTTTTGTATTAAGAAGTGTTTTTTTATTTAATTCTTGGATCTTGGCTGTTGGATAATTGACACATGAATATATCCTAGGAACTAAATCACAAGTTATATGTATAACTGCTAGAGTTCTTAACTGTTTAATCTCAGTACTGAGTACAAATAACCATCTAAGAAATAAAATGGTAGGGAAAAGTCTGATTTTGCTATTATCCAAATCATTGGTCTTCAGGTTTGATCTGAGAACCCATGGGATTATCCCTTTCAGATAGTCCATGAGGTCAAAACTATTTTTATAATATAGTATTATTTGCCATATTTGTACTGAGGATGAAGAAGCGATGGTGAGTTAGTCTGCTGTGCCTTAGTCGAATCAAGGCTGTGGTACTGAACCATACAAGTAGTAACATTCTTCATTTTGATGTTTACATAGTAAGTTTCCTTGATGAGGTAGTGCAAATTATTAATTTGAGTAAATCTTGATCCTTGAATGCCTGTCTTTTTAATATTTTGTGAGACAAAGTAGGAAATACATGTAAGGCACCTATGCTGCATGCTGGAGTATGATGATTTTCTCAGGGAAAACTTCTTGCACCATTATTTGAGTTGTGAACTGAAATACCTGCCTTTTTTTTTTTTATTAACACCATTTTCATTTGAAAGAACAACTGACAGATGAACTGTGATTATCAGACTTGGGTACTTTACTGATTTTTAAAAAAATGTTAATGAAGTTAGCCTGTCACTTCAAGGAAAATATCCTATTAGCTTTTGTTGCTCCCTGGTAAACTTAGAGCTTGCAAGTGAAAATTAGAATTTTGACAAAAGTGTATCTGGTGCTGTGAGCTTAACTAATTCCTAGTACTTAGAGCTTTTCTGGTAAGCTATATAGTGATGTAATGTATGTGATTAATTGATAGCATATAATGAAATGTGTTTTACATAGAAGACCTGTGTAATTCAGTGAACCGGTACCTAAAAGATCCATTCAAAGTGTAAGATAGACCAATAGGTTTTAGTGTAACAAAATAGGAAAAGTTCACTAGTAGGGTTTACAGAGTCTACTTTGCAGCTAACTTTATAAAAATACCACTTGCCGAGTTTTGGTGTAGAAATAGAATATCCACACTTGTCTGAAAGGGCTATTAATGTACTTCTCTCTTTGTTAGGTATTTTTCTTCATATAAAACAACATATTGTAACAGATTGAATGCAGAGCAGATGTGAGAATGCAGATGTCTTCTGTTAAGCCAGACATTAATACTTGCAAAATGTAAAATAATATCACTCTTTACATTAACATATTAGATTTATTATTGCTTTTTTAAAAAAAAAAAATGAATTATAAGTGAACTTAAAATTCTTATTTTGAATTTCTATTACATACATATAGATCAATATAATCCACATCAACAGTACTTTTTTGGGGTCTTCACTAATTTTTAAGAGTGTAAAGGGCCTGATAATAGAACATTTAGGAACTGCTCATTTCGGTGTGTTAACTACAGGCAAATTCACTGAACCACCTACCACCGATTCCCTGAACGCTGGAGAGTCTCCAGTGAGCATTGCTAGTGGTTACTGCATTTGAGAAATGGAATGACATAGCAGTCTGGTAACTTAAGGAATGAGTAAATTAGATATTTTAAACCAGATTTAATTTTTCTCATTTATAATACAGAGAAATAAGAAACACCAACTAGAGAGTCTGTCTTTTAAAATAATGTTTTATCTATTAAAATGTGTTCTATTTTTTTTTTTTCTTTATTGATTTTAGAGAGAGAGGAAGGGAGAGCGAGAGAGAGAACATTGATTGGCCGCCTCCTGCATGCCCCACACTGGGGATTTTTGACCGGAAATCGAACTGGCAACCTCTTGATGCCACTGAGCCACACCGGCTGGGCGTGTTCTATTTTGATTACTTTTGTTTAGAAATAGAAACCTTAATCTTGGCTTCATTAGTCAAGCGGTATACTTTTTTCCTGACATTTTTTTCAAAGTCTTTTAGTGCATTTCATAATCGTATTTGAGTTCTGGAATGCTAGAACCTTTTTCCTTTAATATAATTGGTATATGTCAGAAATGTGCTTCCTCTGGCAAAATAAAAAAACTCTAGTCTTCTCACTACCATCTGTCCATCTATCCCACACAGGAGTATTTACCATTTCCTTCTTCACAACAGTTATTTTTTGATTTAGCCTCTTTTAATCTGCCTCCTCCTTCTCATTAAATGCTATTATGTTTCAAATCAAGATCTTTAAGAAGGCCAGGCCCATTTTGCCCAACATAATGTTTATATGATTCAAGCTTTAGAATTAGGATGCATGTCAGGCTTCTTTTAGTAACGTGTCCTTCCCCCCAAATTCATGCTTCCTCCTGCAGTTTTCTGGCCCTCAGTTAATAACAGTTCTGTTCGAGTTCCTCCTGCCTCAGTCCTTGCACCGTTCTGCCTCTCCTCTCACTGTCCACATCTAATCCACAGCTACTCCTGTGGGTCTCCTTTCAGAACGTACCCAGAATCCCACCCGTTCCACCACCCTCAAATCGCTGTCATCGTCCATTCTCACCTGGGCTATTGCCATGCTCTCTAGGTCAGAGCTTGTCACAGCCTCACTCAAAATCCTACAGTGTTTTTCCTGTCATTCAGAATAAAACCCAATGGCCTGCAGAGCTCTGCACTGTCTCCTCACCCCGTGCTTCTCTGACCTCATCTGCTCTCCCCACTGCTCTGCGCCCCAGCCACACTAGCTTTGTTAACTACCGTGCTAGTTAGTGTATTGCATTTACTTGTTTTTGTATGGTTTGTCTTCCCCACTAAGAATGTAATCCTGATGACAGCAGAGATTTTTGTCTGTCTTTTTGCTCTATCCTTAGGGCCTTAGAATAGATGATGGTGCAATACAATATTGGTGAAGAGACTTACTTAATTTAGCTTTCTTATTGTATAAGTGAGGGAGCACGTCTTTATAGATAATACGAATTTTTAAAAAGTTTTTTAAAAACTTTTTAAACACGGACCTATGTTTTCTGATTGCTAGGCATTCCTTTCCATATACACCAGCATATGCTTATTGTAGAAGAATGTGTGTGTGTGAATGAATTTAATCAAAACATCTTCAGGATAAAAGGAGGCTAGTTATACAGAAGTGTAACTATTTAACAATTTTTGTGATGTCAGAAGAGTTTATATATAAAATGAGAAAAATTACAGGTTGGCTTCATAATGTAAGTCAGGTATTCCTTTCATTAATATTTAGGAGATGTGTCTTTTCTTTCTAGACATGCACATGATGGTGTCGAGACCGGAACAGTGGGTAAAGCCAATGGCTGTAGCAGGAGCTAACCAATATACCTTTCATCTCGAGGCTACTGAGAACCCAGGGGCTTTGATTAAAGACATTCGAGAGAATGGGATGAAGGTGAGAGGTCAGCCATGACAGAAATGTTTTATACTACTCACACTCAGAGTTGGGAAGATTTGGCGGGAGATAGGAAACGATAGGTAGATAAGACCAGACTTAGGCAGCTCTTCTTCAATGGGAAGTCAAAGTTTTAGGTATAACTTGTTTTGTGTATAAGTATAATAACGTGTAAGAATTCTTTTGAATATTACTGCGTTTTTAGAAACATTTACATTTAATAGCCATGTTGACTTTCAATAAATACATGTAGTCTGAATAGTGTATGCAGTCCATTTATGTATGTATTCTATTTTTTAAGAATAGGTATTTCTACTGGGTCTGATATGCCATAGTAATATAATGTGGAAGTAATTGTTAATGTGATGTAGCAAATTTGTCTCTGTCACAGGTTGGCCTTGCCATCAAACCAGGAACTACAGTTGAGTATTTGGCACCATGGGCTAATCAGATAGATATGGCCTTGGTTATGACAGTGGAACCTGGGTTTGGAGGGCAGAAATTCATGGAAGATATGATGCCAAAGGTAAAAGAAGTATTTGATTCCAGGTTGAGGCTTTAATTGTGTATACTCATTCAATAAACATATATTGAACCACTGGTATATGGATATATGCCCTGATCTGAAGGTGGGGAGATGGGAATGCCTACAGATCATTTAATACAGTATGATAAGCCATATAAGAGATTTAGGTTTGGAAATCAGAAAAGGTATCACATTTTAATCTTGAAATTTCCTTTCAGAGCCATTTTTCTATAGCCTTTAGAGCATTTGTGATTTTTCATTGAATTTTGAGGGTTTTGTCTTTTTACCATCAAGTATATTCTCTGAAAAGCCATGACAGATTTAATGCCAGTTTGCCAAGCAGAACAAAGTTTGCTTTTGGGACTTGGTATCAGTATTTTAAAAGGGGAGTTTTCCCTAGTCATAATTGGTATTGATATAAAGTTATTGTGTGAGATACTTGGAGTCCTATTTTAGTGGCTGATACTGGCTGTTTGACGTTTTGTTTATTTAGTTGTGTCCCCATCCCCATCATATCCACTTTAGGAGTCACTTATTTCCTCGTGTATATCTAGGTTCACTGGTTGAGGACTCAGTTCCCATCTTTGGACATAGAGGTCGATGGCGGAGTAGGTCCTGACACTATCCATAAGTGTGCAGAGGTGAGACTACTCATCAACTGTGACCTAGACCATTTTCCTGTCTAGTGTAATGTCCAGGCCATTGTCTTACAGGCCAAAGAGATTTTCTCTACATTTCCTAAATTGCTTTTCTTTCTTGGAAAAGTATTTTTTCTTCAAATGTAGAAATAGGAAAATAAAGTTAGCAATAAATGAATATTCTAAAATCACATAATCGTTAGAGAGTAAGTTTGGTTATCTCAGTAATGCTGAAGAATATTCTGTTTTGAGAAAGACTACACTGCATGCCAGCCTTTAGAAGATCATTAAGTTGTAGGGCCTTGGAATTTTTCCAAATAGAGGAAGAAAATATACCTTCCTATAAAGGGAAAAATTGTTACTCTGTAGAACTTAGGTGTATTAGTTACTAGTTTGTCCCTTGTAAGAACTGAGTAGAGCCATTTTTGTTGAAATTCTGTATCTGATTTCTGGATACCTCTAATCCTCTATGTAGAGCTGGGACGAGTTTTTTCCGAGAAGTTAACCTAGCTGAGGTAGGATCCTGAGCTTCATTAAGAGTATGCCAGCCCTGCCCTGGCCGGTTTGGCTCAGCGGTTGGAGCGTCGGCCTGCGGTCCGGAGAGACCCGGGTTCGGTTCCCGCTAAGGGCATGTACCTCGGTTGCAGTTTGTCCCCGGCCCTGGTGGGTTGTGCGGGTGGCAGCCACTCGATGTGTCCCTTCACGTCGATGTTTCTCTCTCTCTCTCCCTTCCTCTCTCCCCCTCCCACTCTATCTGTACAAAAAGTGGAAAAATGTCCTCGGGTGAGGATAAAAAAAAAAAAAAAAAAGAGTATGCCAGCCCTTCCTGTAACACTGCAGGTGATTAAAGTGGCCTGTTCTTACTAAGCGACATTGTCTAATCTGCACTTCCAGTTTTTTGTGTAAATGCCACACTTTTCTGCTTGATACTTGTCAAAAGTTGGACTGTGATAAGTATTTATGGAAGAGAAGCTGGCCGAATAATTAGTGTATATCCTTTGACCCCTTAGGAATTATTTTTACTAAACTGTGTTCTTTACCTGTTTACATTAAGCAATATGTCAAATTGTAACCCTATAAAACTGATTTTTTTTTCATTGTTATGAGGAATGTTGGTAGAGGTTATAGTACACTGTATCATAGGGTAACAGTGTCTCATTGGAAAAATTTCCTCAGCTTTAGTGCTTCTCCTAATAGTCCCCCTTGCTTCTGGCAATGAATCACATAATGGATTAGGTTTCCCTCCTCAAGTCAAATCCTAGGAAGCACAGAGCTAAATTTGGGTTCATATTATTTGCTTTCCTCTATTTTTGTTTTTACATTTAAGAACATCTTGAAATTCTTTAAGCCACCTCAAAACCATTCTGGAATGCAATGAAGCCTAAGTAAAAAGATGTTCCATTCCTTTTGGCCTCAGAATGAGAAGTTATTTAATGTTGCCATATTTTATAGATAGTTTCACATTTTAGCAGCATTGCCCTTTCATATACATAATTCAGAATTAAAAGATAGTTTTTTTAGTAGCTATGGAGATACTGGTATATATTGGGGAAAAAAACTTAATAGAGTTGAGGCATAAAGATTTTTAAACCTTTTCTAAATATTAGCAAAGATACAGTATAGCTTATTTGGAAACGTTTTAAGAAGTCAATGATTTCTTAGACACATTTAAAACCAATTTCACATCCTTATTTGTTAAGCATTTCTTCATCGAACCATTAAGTGCTGACTGATAGATGCAAAGGTAGAAACTAGTCCAGGAATTCTGTTTTCGGCTTTTCTGCATCTTTCTTTGAGGGATAATAACCGAAGTATTTACTTCTTCCAGGCAGGAGCTAACATGATTGTGTCTGGCAGTGCCATTATGAGGAGTGAAGACCCCAGATCTGTGATCAACCTGTTAAGAAATGTTTGCTCAGAAGCTGCTCAGAAACGCTCTCTTGATCGATGAAAGCACAAGGAGTCCAGTGTTTCTGCTTGTGAAATCCTTTTACTGGAAAACAAGAATATTGACTACCAAATCATATCACAACTGAGGCAGTGCTGCTTTCTGACAAATTACTCATTCCAGTGACTAACATCTGTTGTGCAGAATGGTCCAAGAGGTTAGAAATTTAGTGATGGAATTTAAAGATTAGTGTGGTGAAATACCATTTTTACTGGGAGACTTGATTTTTATAAAGAGTAAAAATATAGCTGTATTAAGTATAAACAGAAATGTGTCTTAATGCCTAAGGAAGGCATAGTAGCTACTATGAAAAAAATGTTTTTCTCTTTTTCTAAAAAGAGTTTTCTGTTGTTTCTTGGCTGTTTTCCAAAAGCAAAATAAGTATGTTTTTCCTGTTTCATGTCATTTTTTGTCTATATGCGTGATAATATGAGTAGATAGAACTTAGGGAAAATCTAAGTTTGAATCTGGCTGGGATTACATATCATATTCTTCTAAAACATTATTTTTTACTTTGCACCTTATGTTTGAGATATAAAAATAGTGTACTTTTTAAGGTGATCTGTTCTAAAATACAAGCATAGATTTTATTAGGATGTTTTGTTAGCTTTGCTGCAGGGGCAGGTTATTCTGTGATTTCCCCACCACCACCTAATCCTTAATCACACCCGCGTGTTTAAGGACAAAAGATAATGTGCTAGCTCTGAGCAAAAAGGAAAGAAAAGCCTGTATTTGGAAGTAAAATTAAATTGACTTTTCCTCTTTCCAACTATTAGACCTTAGCAAAACAAATCAACCAACCTCTTTGAGCTTCTATTAACTGATTTATACATTAAATGTAATTATAATAACTGTGCAGTGTTGTGTTGTGGGTTAAGAGATACTATTATATCTGTAAAGCTTCTGCTACTGTTCCTAGAACTGTAGCATAGAATTGAGGATGCTCAGTACAAAGTAGCTCTCATAAAGTTTGTTTTGTAGGTCATCAAGTACTTTGATATAATCTCATTAAATCTACAAATCACTCCTGTGATTGGGCAGACAGGTATTTTTGTCCCCGTTTTGAGAAATGAAGACCAGCAAAGCTCAGCAAGAGCTGCTAGCATGGAGAGGATCCACTAGGGCGTAGGATTTCTGGTTTGTACCCTTTACAGATGGAGGCCGTGGGAGGTGGATTAGGTAAAGGAAACTTCTTTTACTTAATATTGTCTTATTTCCAGTCTAACTTGACCCTGTAGCAGAACAAGATGACTGAGGATATCCTGGAACCCTGGATTTTGACCCCAAGGATATTTATTTTATTAACCCAAGAAGGAACAGGTAGGCTAAGAGATGGCAAGGTACATAATCAGTCCATAAACTAAAGATTTATCATTGTGTCCCAAATTATACTTTGACAACAAATATGTGTCAGCCACTTCATTATTGCGAATACTTTTGCTATGTAATACATATGGCAAGAAATAACAGGACCAGTGTCATTAAACTTCTTTAGACTGTAAGTTTTAAGAAAAAAATTGAAAAGTAAGAATATCAATTCCTGTGTATGGTATAGAGTTTTCTTGGTTTTATTCTACATTACAAGGTAAAAATAGGTTTCTTAATGTTTATTTTACTTAGGAAAGTTTTCTGCCATGAATAGGTGGCGTTTAATCAAACCAGACAACACAAGGCATATAGAAATAACTTTAATTAAAAAACTTATGTAGAAGATTATAATATGAGACATGACAGAAAGATTTGAGTTTATTTGCCTGGACAACTTTGGGTTTGTCTGGCTTTTTTCTTTTTAAAAAAATAAATGTACAGTAAAACTACAAGCAAAAATCTGTCAGTATTGAATTTGATTTTTTTTCTTCTTTAAAGGGACTAGCATAATTTCCAGTCCCTAACAAAACAGTGTCAAATCCCCCAAGTCTAGGCCAGATGGCCAGGATTGTCAGTTATATGGGTACTACAACTTGAATAACCTTTTTTACATGAGAAAAAAACGATTCACATAAATTGTCCTCAACTTTTACAGAGAAAAAAAAAAATGATGTAGTAGCTTCAAAAGGAATTTTCCTTAATGTACACTCCAATATCCAATATTGAAAATATTGGAGCATTATCTTTAGAAAAGTTTTAATTCTCACTCCAGGATACAAGAATAGATGCTTATTTGAATAGAGTAAACTATGGTAAAGAATGACCAAATTAACTAGAAATACAATCATATTTTTTATACTGACAGAACTTTCCTGTGTGTTGCTTATTTTAAGTTAGTGTCTTTTCTTTATGAAATACATGAAGTAGATAACACTCGTTTTAAAAGAGGTGATAGTTTTAAAAACACCAATGTTTAACTTTGCTTGTCTTATTCTGTTAGGAGTGCATAGAAAATGATCTGTTTAGTCCAACAGATATCAGTGATTTCAAATAAAGGAATATGTGTTACCTGGTATAGAAATTTCCATAAATAACTTCTATTGTTCAAATGTTTTTAAAAATCCCTCTTTATAGTCAAGACTTTTAGGTATCCATTATCATTGGAAACCTGTGCTGCTTTATTTATAGTGCAGCTTATATTTCATGGGGTAGTTCACACGTGCATTTTTTAGTGCTACCTGCCAGTGTGCATGTGTGTGTGTATATATGTATACTCTGTACACACTCTTGTGTACAGAAAAAAGAAGAGCTGTCATTTGGTGCACAGGTATGTGTGTGTGTATATGTATGTATGTGTGGGTGTAAAAATCTTTTTAAAATTATTTACCCAGTAATGTGATTTGACATCAAATTGTAGCAGTTAATTTTTTGGTGCTTATGATTTGCATCATAAACACAAATGACTAACACTTGTCTGTAAGTGAAAAGCTAGTTAGTTCCTCCTGTGGTTCAAGAAGGAAAGAGAGACATACCTTGCCTGTTGCATAAAAAGCATAAAAAATTACTACACGCAAGTACATGCTCTTAGTCTGGAATTGTGATTGGAGGGAGTCGGAGATGGAGAACAGGGCTTATTTTTTCTCCAGTTTTTCATTTAGTTCCATAGTTTTCTTAACCTATTCCTTGTCACCTATTTTTTTTAACATGAGTAAGTCCTGCAGCAAAGGTTTTGTATTCTTCCATTCCGTCTGCCTGTCTTTTTGGATGTTGGCCATTCTCTGGGGCACTGGTACAGAAGACTTCACCATTGACAGCTGGGCTTGGTCTTTCAATCTGATCAGTTTTTTTATATTGGCACAGTAAGGCTTCTGTGTCTTCATCCTTCAGTGGAAAAGCCCGTCGTTCCCACCACAAAGACTGAAAGAGAAAACATGTTCAGTTAAGTTTCAGTTAATTTGTTTTGTTTAAATTGATGCATCAAGTAATCTGTAAATGTCAATTTTGTAACAACTATTATTTTGTTCATTAGCACATAAATGTACAAATTTTCATTTGAATTTAAGTATCTAGCAACTGAAAATGGAATGTACTGAGAATTGTTTAGGTACCTCGGGGAATTCTTTGTTCGCTTTGCCTCTTCTATGAAGGGAAACACTGCCATAGGGTACTGGTCTTCACTGTCAGCCTAGGAGCACGTTGGGGAAGCCCCTCTGATCTGCTTCTGAGCTTCACTGTCTTTGCATCCCATCATCACACATCTACTGACTTTTCCTTCTCTGAGCTTTCTATAACTTGCCTGTTAATTTCTATAGTCTCCACTCTCCATTCTAGATATGGTTATTCTTTTCCAACACCTACTTATAAATAAAAGCAAGAACTTTATAGATGCAGTGTAAGAAAACAGTCCCTTTGAGGTTAGAACTGAATCTATGGGGGTGGGGAGACAAGTAGAGAAATAGTGGCTAACATTTACTCTGTGCCAGGTGCTGTTCTCCTTACTCAGATTTGTTCTGTAATGAAAGCTTGATAGAATCCCCATTTCCCAACATAAATGAGTAGGTGGGATTAGGTATTGAAATGTTCCATAAAAAGATAAGTATTTACAGTGACGGAACTAGAATGTTGGAATACAGATCCTCTGGTTTGTACCCAGCATTCTATACTGCATTGTCATACTGAATCTGTTATGTAATGAAACCAATTTTTAAAAGGATAAAAGGCAACTGAAAGGTGTAACTAATCATGATTACACTTACTTTGATATCTTGGCTTTCATTTGCGGAAGGTGAGCCATGTGCACTCAGATCCTGGCTCTGAGGACTTCCGGCAGCAAAGTGCTGACCACCAACAAAGTCATTAGAGTATTCTCTCAAAAGTAAGTCCTGTCCTTCAACATTTTTACTGTAAGCTCTAGCAAGAAAATCAAGCAAATATTTGATTATTTCTTAATGTCTTAACATTTTATGAACAGCTGAAGGTGTCGCTAAGTCAATTTAACTACATAGCTTTTCTTTTACTTTTTTTTCCCATTCTTTTAAACCATTTCTGCCCCAAAATGTTTAAAAATGCATCTGCTGACCTTTTTGATGCTATCATCTTCATATCTCAAAGACTTAAATTGTGTAATATGAAGTCTTTTGCAAATTTATAATGGTGTGGTTGTTTTTTTGTTTTGGTTTGGTTTGGTTTGGTTTGCCTTTTTCTCCCTCAGAAAAGAAAAAATGACATTTATTTGACCCTTACAGTTTTTCTGTTTCCAGAGTATTCTATGTTTATTGTATGTCATCTGTGAATAACTCAATTCACATTTCCCTTTGTACTTCTTGAAAGTTACATCTCTGAAATGTGGAGGAAGATGAAAACTGAATCTCATATATATTTGGATAAGTCTTGGAATAAGGATCTACAAAACTGGCTATCTTGAGACCCAAACAGAGAAATGTGTTTTAATAATACTAATTACATGAGAGATGCCCCCACACCAAAAAGACTACCAGACTTAGCATGATTTTTCTTTTTGAGTTTTGGCTATATTAAAAAATAGCCAAATGTAAATATAAAATGCCAGGGATTTTCTCAAACATATAATTACTAATTATGTTTTTAGGATTTATTCCCCTTGCCTAAAAGTCATGTCCAAAGTGAAGTTTAGACTGTTTGCTTTTAGACTAGATAGGTATTTTATTTTTGTTTTTGTTTTTTGAGAATTTCTTTTTTAAGAAAAACATATTTTTAAAGTGGGTATGTTAAAATAGATTACCTAAATTTTAATCCCTAGTGTTAGATCCACTAATACAGTGCACTGAAATGACCTCCTTTATCTAGGAAGAATTACCACATTATTTGCTCATTTAAATCTATTCCTGAGGCTGATAGTGAGCATGAGATACGAGAGAGGAGTAAAACACAGAAACTCATTTTATCACTCTATCAGCCCCAATATATTTGAGTGTAACCTCCATATGTACAGTAATGCAGTTGTTTCCCTTCTAGTGCACAAATAGCTGAGGTTATACAGTATCTTTTTTTCCTTTTTAGTGATCTCCCTCATACAGAATTTTTGATTCCACATGGATTCCATGGTTTTGGGTTTTTAAATATATAACACCTGCCTGCTGTTTCTTCTGTGCCACTTGCTTTGCTCCCATAGTGTCCATCTGGCTTGCTCTCTCGCTTCATAGTTTTTGTGTCTTAGAGAGAAGACTTCATCAGAAAGATCTTCTATCTAGAATTAGAAATAAAAAGTTTTGCTTTTATCAGAAACATTTTGAAATCTGATGTTAATTCATCATCAAGAGAACAAAAGAAAGAACTAAAATAAATGCAATCTAAATCAAGAGAACAAATGTTAGGAGATGAGCTTTAAATTCCTAAAAAGAGAGTTAAAGACTTAAAAAAATTATTTTTTAATATTGGATCACATTTGAACACTTAACCTAGATTACAAATAGGTTCACAGTGCTTTCATTTTACATACAATATTCTTAATGCTTTATTTATTCAAAGTTTGTATTGATTTCTCATTATGGAGTACACTGTTCTAAGAACATGTTAATATCAAAGAAAAGTAAAACTGATTGATTGAGATAAATGAGAATTTATTTAACGAATGACTTTTCTGGAGTTTTAAGACTTTGGTGATAGTGTTAAGAATTTGGGTTTCCTGGCCGGGATCTTATTGAACTAGGGAAGACTGCATTAAAGGAGTGAAGGGCATTACAATTTAAATTCTGGTAGTTGAAACACACAGTCAGTGGGCATAGAAACATTGTTACAGAAACAGAAGTGTTTTACATAATATACTACTTCTAGATCACTTTGGAATATTGTTCAATAGTATGATCTTGTCTTAATATTTTATCCAACAGATCCACAACCCCTTTCCTGCAATTTAAAAAATCTGAAAAAAAAAAAGCAAACAAGTTTTCATAACATTTGGTGATATAGCCTGATCTGGAATTATGTGAGGCTATTCTACTTCCTTATAACTACTTCCTTATAAATATGTCATTATAGAAACATTAATATTTGATTGTGAGAGCTGTCCCAGACTCATTAAGTATGTACTTCTTTATTTTTCTAAAATCCAAAATTTTCTAAATCCCAATCAATTTGTTCCCAAGATTTTGAATATGGTGGACTTGCATATTAAGACTAAATCTCTTCAGCCCTGCCCAGTTTGACTCAGTGGTTAGAGTGTTGGCCTGTGGTCTAGAGAGACCCGGGTTCGGTTGCCGCTAGGGGCGCGTACCTCGGTTGCAGTTTGTCCCCGGCCCTGGTTGGTTGTACAGGTGGCAGCCACTCGAAGTGCCCCTTTCACATCGATGTTTCTCTCTGTCTCTCTCCCTCCCACTCTATCTGAACAAAAAATGGAAACATGTCCTCAGGTGAGGGGAAAAAAAAAGACTAAATCTCCTCATGCAGGAAAATATGACTTAATATGGGGAATGAATGTAGAGATTCACATAAAGTCAATATTTTAACAATTCATATAAGCAAATGATATACTTTCTATTTGCTTTTTTTTTTTTTTTGCGTTTATGTTTAGATAGAGTGGGGAGGGAGAGACGGAGGAAGAAAGAGAGAAACATCGATGTGAGAGAGACACATCGAGTGGCTGCCTGCCACCCACATAATCCCGGCCAGGGACAAACTGCAACTGAAGTACATGCCCTTAGTGGGAACCGAACCCAGGACTCTCCAGTCTGCAGGGTGACGCTCTAACCGCTGAGCCAAACTGGCCTGGGCTCTATTTGCTTTATTTTATATCTGTTGTTTATAGTCAAATTTGCACAAAAACGTTTCTAATCAACATACCCTTAATGAAGAATTTGGTTTTCCTAAATAAAAATCAGTATGTTAAAGGGCTTGTATTTCCTCAAATATCAAATTAAGCAGACTTCATAATATATAAAGTACAATTATCCCATAAGTGAAAGGCAACTTACCTCTTCTTCACCTATATTATATTCATCCAAAGGCTGAAGAACAACCATCCTCCAGCTGTTGAAGATACAAACCAATTTCCAACAGCTGTTGTCAGTAATTAATAAACTGGCTCAGCAAAACAACAAAACACCCTGATCTATAGTATTTGCCATTTCTTTGTGTGAAGACTTTCATTTTGGCCTCTTTTGAGTTTAATTACTGGATTACAAAATTCCTCAATATTAAACAACCAGCTCAGCCATCTAGCTCCCTCCCACTATGTAAATTGAAAATCAATGTTGCTAAAGAACATTATAACCACAAATAATGTTATTTCTTATGGAGAATATATCAACATTCTCTGTAGTAATTCTCAAAACACTTCCTAGAGTATTAAAAGTTCTTAATACCTCAAAATAACTATTAATAAGAGGGTTAGGAATTAGCTGGAATAGAGAGCAGTAGGAATTACGGGAGTTGTCACTCAGTTAATGTCTGTTTCCAACCTCTTCTATCTAATTCCTGGTACCAGATTCATATTAAGAAACTGCTTTCATCGTTGCTAGGAAGCAGATCTGTGGATGGCATTCAAGGACCTCCACAATCTGGTTCTAACCTCTTTTCTAGCATTAACTCCCTTTATTGGCCTACACAAAACCTCGTCTCTGACAGCCTTGCACACGTGTCCAAATGCCTTTGTTGTGGTCTCCCTATGTGAATACACTTACCTTCCCCCTATTCATGATGACTTCCCAGACCTTCCCATTCATCTTTCTTATTGCTGACTTCGCAATAATACATCAAAATTTCATTTTTGTTGTCACTGGTGTTATTGCCTTATAGTGAGAATACCCCATGCAAGGTAGTTGCTTTCTTTGAACTCATTTTACAACCTTGTGTAAACCTCCATTTTAAAGAGCAATTATTAATTAAGTATAATTATTTACGTTCCTAAAATACCTTTTAGTGTCCTATACATAGCTAAATATTGAATGGGGGAAAAAAGACTTTTAAAAATTCTTAATAGAAACTGAGAAGTAAAGTTGTGATACTATATTCTTCAGCATAATTAATGTAAGCTTTCTTCACTGTCCCTCTGTGGTTATACAAGTGGGAGGAAGGGGGAGAGGAGCATCTTCCTTTCATTAATTAAAATTTTAATTTCAGTCTGAAAAATTTAAGTTTATTTAAGAAAAAGAAGGAAGAAAGTAAAAAGATGTAAGTATACATACCTCGGAGTAAGTATTTCCTTATATTGGAGTTTCTCTAACTTAGCTGGGGCCACTAATGACATAGGAATCACAATATTATCTATGTCGTAAGAACTCTCACTTCGCAGTCTCCGACGTGCAGTATTCTGCAGCAAAATAGGGTTACAGTAGTTTTGTAGCATTATTTAGTTTCCTGTGACTACACTCTTGAGTTATATAAAGATAACATGGCAGTATACCTATATATTAAGTTTTATAAATATATCATTAAAAATCTGACTATAACCCAGCTGGTATGGCTCAGTAGATTGAGCATCAGTCCCATGGACTGAAAGGTCCTGGTTCGATTCCTGGTCAGGGCATAGGCCCGGGTTTCGGGCTTGATCCCTAGTAGGGGGCGAGCAGGAGGCAGCCAATCATTGTATCTCTCTCACATCGATGTTTCTATCTCTCCCTTCCTCTCTCTAAAAAAATCAATAAAAAACATTAAAAAAAAATAATCTGACTATAAAGTGTTGAAAAAAGCAAGAAAGCATACCTGTCTTCTTGAAACCAGACAATCTTTTTGGGGCAGGGGCAGGTATGCAGCATACATTTGTGTATGCAGCATACATTTGTGTATGCACACACACAAACCTATTTTTATTTTTATGGCCATAAAAAGTATAAATGCCTTAAAATGCGAAACAACATAAAAGATTAAGATTATACCATAAGGCATGTTAAATGTCAAAGAAATGATCAGTTAACACACCTTTTCTTGGGAAAGACTGAAATATTTCTGTGAAACACTTTGTGAGTCATTCATTCAAGATCATTATTAAAGTCTCATCTTTTTAAAAAATTGACTTGAGAGAGAGTGGAAGGGAGAGGGAGAGAAAGAAACATCAATGAGAAAGAACATCGATTGGCTACTTCCTATATGCCCCCCACTCGGGATTTTGCCCACAACTTGGGCTTGTGCCCCGAGTGGGTCAAGACTCAACCACTGAGCCACACCAGCTGGGCAAGTCTCACCTTTTTTTAATTAAAGATATGGTTTATTCATTTTAGAGAGGGAGGGAAAGAGAGAGTAACATTGATTGGCTACTTCTTGCATGCCCTTCACTGATCATCGAGCCTGCAACCCAGGCATGTGCTCTGGCTGGGAATCGAACCTGTAACCGCTCAGTGTATGGGACAGTGCTTAATCAGATGAGCCACACAGTTGGAGTCCTAAACCCTTCCACCTTTTTTTTTTTATCCTCACCCGAAAATATTTTTCGATATTTTGTTCAGATAGAGTGGGAAGGAGAGAGAGAGAAACATCGACGTGAAAGGGACACATCGAGTGGTTGCCACCCACACAACCCAAGCAGGGCCGGGGACAAACTGCAACTGAGGTACGTGCCCTTAGCAGGAACCGAACCTGGGTCTCTCGGGACCACAAGCCGATGCTCTAATCGCTGAGCCAAAGCGGCCAGGGTACCCTTCCACCTTTTGACCTTGACTCTGACCAGATAAAAAGCAAAATAACACAAGGGCTGGATTCTTACTAGTAAGATTATATTTAGCTTCATGTTATATATAAAGGGATGCTTACAGTAAAGTTTGTTTTTGACAGGAATAAAAGCTATAACCAAGGATTAATGAACAATTGGCTCCCTACTAAAAAAGTTTAATCACATTTGCTTCCTAATAATTTAGATCTAAATATGTTAATATGTGTTAATAAATAAGGCTGTTAATTAACAAAATGTATATTTTCAAATCTGCCAGTTTTAAAATTCTATAAAGCAGTTTTAAAGTTCAATATACAAAAAACCTACTTGTGATGAGTTCTGAGGTCTTGATATAACATTGACATTAGTAGCAGCAGTAAAATTTCTGTGGGATCCTGGTTCTGTGTGTTGAAAAGCAAATTCTTCAAATCTAGTTCTTTCTCCTGCCATGGAAAAAAACCATTGAGAATGTCAAACATTAAGGTAACTTACAGGTACCAGAATTATTCTCCTAGTTAGGTGACATCTGATTCCTTTTCATGTTTATTGGTTTTCTTTTTATTATTTTTTAAACATACCAAAAACAAAAAATAAGAGAATGGAAAAATTTTTTGCCCACAATCATTTCCATTTTCTGCCACATCCTGCCACAATTGTTTTCATTTTCTGGGGTAATGACAGTTTTTATACATTGTTCTACTTTCTGGAAGATTTCCTTAGCTTGATCTGACCATTAATTTTTGAAATTTTTTCTACTATTAAAGTACTAATTTATAAAAGTTCTTTTACTCTGTTATTTTTTATAGCATCCTGTTTTTATTTTATGAATTTTTTCTTAGGATAGTTTATTTATTTATTTATTTATTTATTTTTGTATTTTCTGTGTCTCTTTCATGATCCATTTTCCATTTGTTTTGGTTCCCTATTTGTGAGTATATATATAATTTATTCACTTATATATGGCCCTTGTTTTACTTTAGTATGGATCTTAAAAAATAATAGTGTCCTGTGTAATGTAAAATCTGATACCCAGTCCATATTTACATTGTTCAATTTGTTTAAAAAATCCTTTATGTAGTTTCTTCAAATCAGGATCCACATATTGAAATTGGTTCTTGTTGCCTAGGTTTCTTATAATCTAGATTTCATTTTTCATGATACTTACCAAAGACTAGACCAGGTGTCCTGCATTTTACTGAGTTATCTAGTTCTTTGTAATAAAGCATTATACTTGTTCTTTTATCCCTGAGTTCCCATCAATCCAAGTGAAACATTTCACATCCTAGGTAATTTTATAATTCATAATGCATCTTATTAAGAGATCAAGTGTTCTGATGTTTCGGTATACATGTGTGAACATTCTCTGAAGGCTAGGTTACTTGGTTGTCTTAAGATTGGGGCACTAAAGAGCATAATGAAATCTCTGGTCATGGGTGGGAGTTTTATTTTGTGCTACACTAGTTGATCAGGTTGTGATTATCACGTAGTGACTTGGTCTGTTTTGGTGGGATTTCTAGAGATAGTGATAAATGTGTTAAATCATGTATAATCATAGTCCAGTACATCTTGGATATAATTTGTTTCTAATTTGGGCATATTGCCATTACATCTGGGGAATACTTTGCTAATGTATATACAGGATGAGGCAAAAGTAAGTTTTTATCATTAATTTGCAGTAACTGTGGGAACTATCTTGTCTCAAATTCCCACAAAAACCACACTTTGTATTACCTGAAGGATCCTAGTTTCAATGCTATTTCTATGGTCATTCATAAGTTCCTAGAGGGAACTGAACTAGGTGGTTGAGTTACCTTAAATGAACCTCGTCCAGTTTCTCAAAATTCTGAGGAAGCTTCAGTGAATTGACACCTCCATAGTAGGTAGCAGATGGTGATACATTTCTACTCTAGTCAGGGAACATAGGAAAGAAACCCTTAAGGGGGAGGGGTACACAGTCAGCAGTTCTGAAGTGATGCATGAAAGTGCTGTATAATGTTCACAGGACCATGGATGTTTTGTTCATTAATGGCCACTGGATCATGAACTCCTATGAAGCAGGGGTTCTTTGGAGATCAGAATTTATTTTCAGTTTTTAGTACTGTCCTCATTTTAACCTACCTAATGCTGTTTCACTTAAGTGTCTTTTCTTTCTTCCCTGTAACAGCTGTGCAGAAGATTCTGACCTTATTTGAGGCTTGCATGTAGGAGAATATCCATTTCTCCATTGACTCAGAGAAGTATTATGTACTAGAACAAATGGAAAGAAAGGAAATGTGCAGTTTTAGTTCCTTAACACAAACAGATAATGAACAGATGTTAGTGTTTCTACTTATAACATTGCAGAATATTAATATACCATTTAAAATTACATATACTACTTAGGTCCCAAGATGAACTGAAAATAATAAGATTCTTTAGCGACATCTTCAGGAATTGTCCAATTTCCTATATAGTTGGTCCATTATTTGAAGTGGATGAAAAGGAAAGTGATCTGTTTTCAAAGTCTTCTAAATTGCAAAATGTTATAGAGAAGATTGGTTCAGTCTGTAATCTTGGTTGAATATGACCTAAATCCTTAAGTTAGTCCCTGCTTACCCTTAAATTTGGAAATAATTCAGGACCAAGTAAGATTTTACAGAATCAAAACAGACTGGGACCTCTGGAGAACACAGTGCCTACTGTCATTCCCTTCACTTTCTTTAAAGCAATGAATTTTCTAAAACTTTAAGTCAATTAATATCTCTGTGCCTCAGTTGCCTTATCTGTCAAATAAGGATAATAGTCATTAGAAGGATATCTGACATAAGCATTGAATGAATGTTAATTTCTTCATGATTATTGTTTGAACGCCATATTCTAGTACTAGACTGATCAAATTGGCTGCTCTTTTTGAAGGATTTGGAACTGTGGAAAGGAATAGAAAAAGGAGTATATAGGCTAAGTGTCAAATTCTCACTTAAACTGAAAAAAAGCATGGCCTACAAACAGTAACTGGGATTCTTGACTTCACGATGGCAAAGCACTCTAAAAAGTATAGACATGCACACGTAAATCCATACTAGTAAACAAATGGGGGAGCTTGTTAGTATGTAGGACTTCTGAGGGATCTGTGAAAGACTAGTACCACATGGAATTAGACTGAAGAGCAAACTCAGTGCGAAAGTACATGGAAAATATTGCCACAAAAATATGATCAACAACAAAGGTGCTCTAGACCCGCAGGAAAGGGAAACTGGGAGCAGGACAATTATCTGGAGCAACTAACTAGCAGGATCCCAACACCTCAGCCAGGCTGACTGATGAGAGATTAACTGTCTTAATAGATAAAATCTGAGCCCTGAGCCGAGAAATGGATGGAGAGAGAAGGCAATGTCCATGTGCCCCATTTTGAAACGTCCTGCCCATCCCTAACTACCTCTGAAAAATAGTATAGGGTGCAAATTTCTACCCTTTCCATGAAAAGCATTGCATAAATAGTGGCAGAACAGTCTTACTAGTGAATAGCCACTTTAAGGATGAGAACACAAGACTCCAAAAGTCTGATACCAACACCAGAAAACAAAGAAAAGGTACAAACAACAAATGGAAGAAAAACCTCAAGAAATAGTTCACAGGGTACAGATTAAGAAATCTTCAAAATACTACCATTGCCAAGAGAAACAGCCAAAAGGCCTCTAGAGAGACCATGGGAATGGAAAATATAATTTTCAAATTTAAAAACAAAATCATCACTAACTGGGCTAAATAACAGAATGGATAAGCTGAAAATCAAAGTCTGGTTGGAAGAAGTCCACAACTCAAAGGAATATAGTGATGGGAAATAAAGACAAACCCAAGTGGGATAACAGGAGAGAGAGGGTGAATGAGGAGCTATATTTGAAGACAAGGTAGCCAAAACATCCACAGTCAACAATACTCATCCTAATATTGCAAGAACTTATTGGAGTGTCGAATCAAGTGGGGAAAAACCATAAATCATACATCACATCACAATGACGATACCCTAAAAGCTACCAGAGAAGGGATAAGATTACTTAAAAAAATAAGAATCAGATGGACAAAACAGAACTACATGTGGGAAAACAGTGACTTGAAAGAGCTTAGGGAAAGTGTTAGAATTCCTAGATGGCCTCCAAGATTTCCTTTTTTTTTTTCCTTAAGGGGGCAGGACAGATGTTTATTTTAGGAGAAAGCAGGTGCCAAAAGGAGCAGGACGAGGCAGTGTAAGGAGTGCGGGAGGCAGGGCTGGGGAGTAACTAGGAATGCAGCATCGTCTAGATTGGCAGACCACATGGACACGGCCACAGGGAACCACACAGCAAAGAACATCCACCCCGGGTAGAGCACACTTGCTTAATAACGACTGAAGGAATGAAGGGATTACAAAGTAAAAGTTCAACAACTTTGACTATTGGAGAGTTAAATTTCTAGACAATAAAAATAACAGTGGGAAATACCAGACCAACAAGTGTCTACCACCACAGGCCCAAGACCACCAAGTTGTGTGTGAGTGTGGCCGACAGCCACCTAGGCCACCGGGTATGTGGGCATGGGCACACTTTCCCAAGGGATGTCAGGATAACACCAATATCCCAGATGCTCAAGCTCACAAGGAAACATAGCACGATGCATGGGCACTAAAAACAGAACCAGGATGCCATGTGGGTAAGGCTGCCTCCAAGATTTCTTACCATCCAAAAAAGGAGTGCCAAGAAAGATGTTAAATAGAAGACAAGGTGGCAGGCATAATTCTAAACTCATTTCTAAAAAGGTGTACCTACAGTTGTGAAAGTTAGCTTTTAAAATGCATATGTGCCTGGCACGTGTAGGTTCCACTAGTGAGTGTCAACTCTTGTTTTAGGAGTATTTTAAAGCAAATTCCAGACAATTCACCTTTTTCTTCTAAAAGCAAATCAAACATTTTGAAGAAAATGTAATCTTCACCAAGGTAATGCTTTTTATTGAGTTTTACTCAGAAGTTTTCTTTACATTGACCTTTTTCCCCCCCTCAGTGTCTTGTTAAGGTTGCAGTGGACTCAAAACAGTAGGCAATATATGACAATTCAGAATCTAACTCCACACACCTTTGGGTTCTTGCTCTCCCAAATCCTCACCTAGATTCCATCCTAAAACAACTTGACCCAGTATCTCTCCTATCCCCTGCCTTCGCTTCCTTCTCATTTATTCATTCAATAACTTTATAGAGATCCAATTACATGCCGGGCAGTGTTATATACGCTGGGGCTACAATGGTGAGCAAAAGCCAGCGTAGTCCCTGCCCATGTTATAGTTCATGGGCATTCTCTCCAAAACTGCAACTAGAAGACAGTACTATTGAGAGAAGTTAATGCGAGTAAGAGAAATCTAGGAAAGGCTTCCCCAGATAAAGTGACAGATTTTAAAATATGAACAGAACTAGCTGATGGCAAGGGAAAGAAAGGTATATGTGAAGGCTAAGGGGAACAGGACAGATTTGCAGCAACAGCAGTGGTGTATAAAGTAAGGAAGCTGGTGAAAACAAACCATGGACAGGGAGCCAGCCTATTTAAGAATATTCCGTCAAATATTTGACAGGAATGGGGTTGGCAAGCAGGTGTGACATCATTAGGTCTGCATTTTGAAAAGATCAGTTGGTATAGAGACTGGAAGGAAATAAAAATTGGGCTTTTTTAGTGGTACAGATAAGGGTTATCGAGTTGGACTGTGAGAGTGGTAGAGATGAAGACAGAGTAGCAGATTTGAAACAAATTGGTAAGATCACGCTGAAATGGGTTTAGATATGAGAACACGGGGTGGGGGTGCTGAAGAAAGCTGGGCCCTAGGTTTCTGGTTGCTTTTGTGGTTATGCTATTTCTCTCGTGTCCACTCAAAAAGTAGTAAACTTAATTTGACATAATTTCAGACTCAAAACACTAGTACAAAGTTCTGTGTACCCTTTACTCAGATTCCCCAAATGTTAACATTTATCACATTTGCTTTATCCTTCTAAACTCCAGTGGAATTAAGGTGCCCCTCTAAATATGTCCATATGTATTTTCAAAAAACAAGCATTCTCTTACATAGTTACACTGAATCAAGAAGTCAATACTATTAGCTAATTACAGACCTTATTCAAATTTTACCAGTTATTCCTATGATATTCTTTATAGAAAACTCTGATCTACATTCGGTCGTAAGTTCTCTCAAGTTTTCTTGTATCTGAAACAGTTCCAAGTGTCTTATCTTTCATGACTTTGAATATTTTGGTGGGTACAAGCCCTTAAATTGGCTTTGATATTTTCTCACGAATAGCCACTAATCCTCTATTCACTGAGCCCACTACAATTTGACTTTTCCCTACTTCCTTGTTACCAGAAGTCAGCAATGCTGTCACAAATGCCAACTATTATGGACGGTCCAGGGTAAATCCAAGTTCTGGCAAACACATAAACGTCCCTCTGCTTACCTTCACACGATTTAGCCTACACAAATACCAGGCCATTTGTGTATACTTGAACACACCACACTGTTGCGAGGCTCCATGACAAGTCACGTGTTTGTTTCCATTTTAAGTTTGTTACTTATCATGGGCCAATAGCATTTGAATCAACAATAGCATTTGAATCTTCTTCCCCTAAATTCCAGTTAAACAGAGCTATACATCACCATCTTACTGGAGTCCCTGGCCCTTTCCTCGTCACCCTTGACCTTTCTTCCTCTGCCTTCCCCTAGGCAGAGTTATACACTCTGCCTTCTTTTTAGAATATTTTTATTATATGTGTGCCTGTCACATCTCAATAATGTGTCTGCTTCCCCTTATTACATTATACTTTCTTTGATTTCCTGATTCACTTTTGATTCAACAGTCTACCTGGCACAGAGTAAGTACTCAATAAATATTGAATTCTATTTTCACTTAATTCTCTAGAAATCACTAACAGTAAAATAAAAATTGACTACTTAAGACACTGACATAGGATAAAACCTAATTAATGCGTAATTATTTGGGTTGGGAGTGGTTGGGGAGGAGAGATTGGGATACAAAGACTACTTCACTGACTTGCCTAGTATAACATTCAACTCAAATGTCCTATTCTTAGCTCTTAATTTCCATCACTAACATTTCATTACATTATTGAGACATTATTAATTCTGTGCCTAACACTGCCCTATTTTTTTAAAGTTAGATAAACAATATTAAATATAATCACCTGATCACACTTACTACCAGCATATATTTTCATTTTTATATATTTCCCTTCAATCATTTGTATTTCAAATGCAATAATTTTTATTTGGGTATATTATAATTTTATTTTTTATCTGATAACTCTTAATTGTTATTTTTTAAAGTGGTTGCCTCATATTCCTCTGATTAGACAATATAATGTAATTATTCCCTAGATGTTAGAGCTCATTGTCATGATGTTATTTCCATGGACATTCCTACAATAATCATTTCATGTATATGTTTTTCCTATTTTTAAAAAGGTTTAGTTTCAGGATAAATTCTAAGGTGTAGAATTATATCATGGAAAAGAACCAGAATGTAACCTGTATTTTTCTGTTCTTTTTTTTTTTTTTTCCTGAGCACAGACAATTGTTCCTTGTCCCTAGTGTTTTTGTTTTTTTCTTTAACTTTACTTTTTTTAAAAAAATTTCAAAAAAAGCAAATGAATAAGATAATGAATTATCCTAATATTCAGCCTCAAAAATTATAAACTGGTAACCAATCTTGCTTCACCTCTCCCCACCATTTTTTGCTAAGAGTATTTTAAAGCAAATCTCAGACAAATCATGGACATATGTGTCAGCTTGAATCTCTAACAGGTAACGTGTGTGTATTTATGTAACTACATGCACTATTACATATAACAAAATGAACAATTCATTAATATCTAACATCTAGCCCATGTTCAAATTTCTCTATCTCAAAAACTGTGCTTGTGTTGAGTGTATGTGTATACAGCTGAGTTCAAATCAGGATCCCCAATAGGCCCACACGTTGCATTTGAATGATAGGTAACATTTTTACTTGGTTATAACTGTACATAGAAGTAAAACATGTTTCTCCTTTTATATCACTTAACATTCATAAATGTTTACAATTTTTTTTTAATCCTCAAGGATATTTTTACATTTATCCTCAAAGTGGAAGGGAGGGAGGGAGGAAGGGGGAGAGAAAGGAAGAGAGAGAAACAGAAACATTGATGTGAGAGAGACACATCAGTTAGTTGCCACCCACACAACCCCAAATGGGGCCAGGGATGAACCGCAACCAAGGTAGTACCCTTGGCCGGAATCCAACCTGGGACTTCCTGGTCCACAGGCCAATGTTCTAACCACTGAGCAAAACTGGCCAGGGCAAATGTTTACATTCTTATATGAAATGAATATATATATATATTTTATTTTATTACTTTATTGATTTTAGAGAGGAAGGGAGAGAGAGAGAGAAATATCGATGAGAGAGAATGTCAGTAGGCCGCCTCCTGCATGCCCCCCACTGGGGATCGGGCCCACAACCTGGGCATGTGCTCTGACTGGGAATCAAACGGTGACCTCCTGGTGCATGGGTCGACGCTCAACCACTGAACCACACCGGCCGGGCCTGAATATATTTTTGAAAGCTGTAGATTCCACTGTGTTAATTAACCATACAGTCGACCCTCGTTTATTGAGGTTAATCAGTTCCAGACTCTACCGCTATAAATGAATTCCTGTGAAGTAGAAGTGGCGAGGGACGACTGTATTCCTGTTGTGCTCTTTAAGTTGTTTCCAATTTTTATTAACACAAATATGCTAAATATATTTGTCACCTAAGGTGGTTTCATATTTTGTATTAGACTAGGTTCTTATAAATGGATTTATTGGATCAGAATACAGACTTGACAGTTTAGTAATTTGTTGTGAGCAAGTGTACAAATAGGCTGATTTTTTTCCCAATGGTCTTATTTAAAAAATACATATTTAAAGGCCTTGTAATGCAATTCACAAGACTTACCAAAAGTCTTGTATCAATTCTTAATAGTACCTCAAATATATGAGAGTCCTATTTTAACTACATTCTTACCAAAATTAGTGATTGTAATGTTTAAATTTATTATTGTAACAAAGTATGAAACATGAGCATTCACTGAATGCGCCTAGTTTTTCTAATTCATGAGACAGTTTTAAATAGTTAACTTTTTAATTTACGTGGAATGTATTTTAATGTTCATCTTAAACTGGTTTTAATATGCTATGCTATGTAAGGCAAAGATCTCATTTTATCTTTTCCAAAAATCATAATTTACTGCCACTAATTATGGAAGAAACGGAGTTGTTGAAAGCATGTGCTCTGAGCCAGACTGCTTGGATTTGAATCCTGGCTCCACCACTAGTCAGCTGTGATCTGGGGAAAATTAGTCAAGGAGAAAAATAATATTTAACTTTACAGGGTTGTGCAGATTAAAGCAAACAAATATAAACCCTTCAACCAGTACTGGCATACAAGGAATTCTTCCTAAGAACTGTTTATTGCTATTATTTATTGACTAGACCATCCTTTCCACACTGATAGAAATACCACCTTACCATATAATGAACCCATTGGTCTGTCTCTAGGACTTTAATTTCCTTGATCTGGCTTCTATCAGCACCACAATAATTTAATGATTTTAGCTTTATAATACATTTTGATATCTTCTATTTCCTTATTGATATTTTATAATTTTATTGGCTATTCAATATTTTGTCTCTTTGATAAACTTCAGAATAGCTCTTTCAAAAGAAGAATGCCTCTTTGATTCTGATTAGAACTACATTATACATTAATTTTGGGGAAAATGACATCTTATTTAAAACTGTCTTTTGACAGGAATGGATGTTTCTCTCCATAATAGGCACATACTCTTATGTTCCTCAATAAACTTTTGGTGTTTTCTTTTTTTTTTTTTTTTAATTTTTTTTTTTATCCTCACCCAAGGACATTTTTTCCATTTTTTGTACAGACAGAGTGGGAGGGAGAGAGAAGAAGAGAGAGAGAGGGAAACATCGATGTGAAAGGGACACATCGAGTGGCTGCCACCCGCACGACCAACCAGGGCTGGGGACAAACTGCAACCGAGGTACATGCCCTTAGCGGGAACCGAACCTGGGTCTCTCCGGACCGCAGGCAGACGCTCTAACCGCTGAGCCAAACCGGCCAGGGCTGGTGTTTTCTTATGTAGGTCCTTGTTAAGTTTAGTCCTAGATATGTTATATATTCATGTCAGTGTATGTATGTAACATTCCTTTACATATTCTAACTCATTATTACTGGTATTTATCAAAGCTACTAGGTTTTAGAAATTAATTCTAAAATCTAGTACCTCTCAGCACTTAAATTCTAACAGGCATTCAGTTGATTCTTGAGTTTTTGAATAGATGGTTATTTCCTCTGGAAATAATTTCTCTTAGAAGTAAAACGTTTTTTTTAATCCTCACCTGAGGATATTTTTACATTTCTCTTCAGACAGAATGGGAGGGAGGGAGAGAGTGAGAAACATCAATGTGAGAGAGACACATCAATTGGTTGCCACCTGCATGGCCCCAGAGGGGTCGGGGACAAACTGCCACTGAGGTACATGCCCTTGGCTGGAACTGAACCCACGATTCTTTGGTCAACAGGCTGATGCTCTAACTGCTGAGCCAAACTAGCCAGGGCAGAAGTAAAACATTTTATATGACTTTTTGATATTGATATTTTAGGTTTGCAGATAGTAAAAATATGTTATTTTTTTCCTTCTGATTGCGTCCAAGCATAAACAATGACCCCACCCCCATTCAGAGTACTCATAAATGTTTCATTATAATTTTTCAAGTTTTATTTTATAATTTTGGTTTTTTATTTAAAATTCTCGAACCAGCTAAAATTAATTCTGATACATGGTATGAAATGACTGTACAAACTTTCCTCAAATAGACTAATAATACTCTTTACTGAAAGGTTCTCCATTTTCTCACTAACATACAACTGTTCCCTTCTATAATAAAGTATAACCTGTTAGTCTGCTTCATGGATCTACTTTCCTAAATGTAAGCAAAAGAGAATCTAAGCTAACGATTACAGAGTTGTCATATTTCCGTATATGGTTGTGCTAGATTCTCTCAATACTTTTTCCAGCAATTCCTTTTATATTTCGCCATCTATTCTTCCCAATGGGTTTTAGTTATTTTGTTAAGTTAACCAAATTGTATTAGAACTTCAAGTTACAATGCATTAAGCATTTAAACCAACAGAGAACTGATATCCTTATTAATCTTACTATCCAGGAATGCTATTTTATCCATATTTATTTAAATTTCCTTTAATTATCAATAATCATAATTTTCTTTCAATAAGTATTGCACATTTCTTGTTAGGATTACTCCCACACATTTTCTATTTGTGTGTGTGTATCTGATTTGTGAAAAGTGAATATTAAAAATTAAGAATTTACATTTATTCCTTTGTTAAATTTTATTTCCTTCAAAAGCAACAATGATAAGTATATAAAAGATATAAAAGGTATATATATAAAGTACAAGATTTATAAATAACATACCAGGGGATGGAGATATGATACAGTCTCCTACAAATTTATTTTCTGCAAGATCTCCTTTAATTTCAGTCTTTTTAAACAATGTTTCAAAGTGAAAATGAAGAGGCACATCTGGAAAAATAAAGTAAAAACAATTTTCAGTGAACAGCACTCTATAGATTTAGTAAGATTGCTTTCTTTCTAAAAATAGCATATAACCTCAGGAAAATAAGCAACAGCTTGAAAAATCACAACTTCCAGAAGTGGTAGAATAATCTTTCAAAATAAATTGGTAGTATTTTGGAATTACTGATTATATATTCTTAACAAATGCTAACAATGAATAACTAAAACAGTACATACGATGAATAAAATTATAAATATTCACAAATGAAAACAAATGTACCCGGAAAATCTTATAACTACAGCCAAACCTGGATGACTCTTAATACCATTCGACTCCACCCCCACAACCTTTGCATTTGAATTATTGAGGTTTCCAAAAGATAAAAGTACATGGTTTTAATTACTTGAAGGAAAAACTATAATTCAGATGCAACCTTTCATGAAAATGTCAACTTTTACATTTTCTTAGTTTACCAGTACTATGAATCACAAAATGAATCTCTAACAAAGATTAAAACCTACTGACAAACAAGCTCTCTTTAAAGAGAGATGTTCAATTCATTGTTTATAGTCTATATTTTCACAACCAAAAGTGGGGTTAAATAGATGTGCTTCACATTTATCAAAGGGTTTTTCTTTCAATCAAGAACAAAAACAAAATAATCTTTAAAAGCATTTATTACGAGACACCTGGCCTTTTTCTGAAGAAACATTTTATAAAGCAGTTGATCTATGGAATATGATTATAAATAGAGGAATATTATAGGTCAGAGAAACCTCCGTGAAAAATTGCACATTAGAAAATGAACAATAACTTACTGAAAAACATTTCAACAACATAGCCTTTATCAGTAAAATGCTAAACATTTAACCCTCAAAAGTTCAAAACCTAGTCACTTCTCAAAGTAAATCAAAATGTTTTCCAGAGAATTAAAGAATCACTTCCAAAGATAGAACTTAGTAAGTCAGCAAGTGGTTTAATTCCTCTATGAAAACCGTGTAGTTATAATATCTGGAGTACTTGATAAATAAAATTTTATTAGATAATTTATAGGATTAGATTTCACCATAGAAAATATTCAGTTATTTAGAAAATTTAATAAGGAGGCTTACCTGATGGCAATGATAGAACAGAATGGAAAGAAGAATCTAGCTCTGATACATGTTCTTTTAATATTTGAGACTTTGAATTGTGTTCACAGCTACTCCAAGTTGAAGTTGACTGCAGGCAAGGCATTTGTGTAGTATTTAAGAATGCTGTTTCTTTTGAAGGCAAAGTCTGCAAGGAAAAATAATTTAAAGACTTCATTTTTTTCCCTTGAAAACAGAATCAGAACATAACAGTTATAGTACAATATCTGAATAACAGAGAAAGAATTCCTGGCTTAAGTCACTTTGAAGAAAGACATTTATTTATTTCTCCTTGTTATTGACTTTATTGGGAGAAAGACCTTTATTGTTTGTTTTTTTTTTTATCTTCACCCGAGGATATTTTTCCATTTTTTGTACAGATAGAGTGGGAGGGAGAGAGAGGAAGGGAGAGAGAGAAACATCGACGTGAAAGGGACACATCGAGTGGCTGCCACCCGCACGACCAACCAGGGCCGGGGACAAACTGCAACCGAAGTACGTGCCCTTAGCGGGAACCGAACCCGGGTCTCTCTGGACCGCAGGCCGACGCTCTAACCGCTGAGCCAAACCGGCCAGGGCGGGAGAAAGACCTTTAAAATGACATAGAGTGAGAGAAGTTATTTAAGGCCATGAATGTGATGAGATTTGACTAGTCCCTTTTCAGTTTTTCAAAATTAAGAGCAATGTTTATGAAAATGGGTCTTTCTCCCATCTTATAAAATCTCAGAAATGAGTTTGAGAAACTTTGGGTAAAAATTTAAAAAAGGTTAACTCCAGATAATTGAGAACTCCAGGTTAACTCAGTGATGGTGAACAAAGACTATGCTAAGAACTGTGTATACTCTTTTCCTCCTTGCAACCTATAACAACCAATGAATGAAAGTGGAGTCTCTGTCTTAAATTCTGATGACAGACAATATCTACATTAGAGTAACAGTGAAGTACTATGAGTATTTTACAGGTTCACATTAAGTAAAATTTAACTGAAAATAAAACATTAAAACACATATGCATGAAATGTGCAATATATTACAAAAGTTTGAGTTTCTTGAGATAAAGAATTGAGTCCAGGAATCTCAAGAAAACAATGTTAGTAAATAAAAAACGTTATGTTGCTACATTAATACAGGATGGGGCAAAAGTAGGTTTACAGTTGTTACATATGAAACAATTTATTCTTGTTTTATTATTTATTAATTATATTACGTTCCACATAAACAACTGTAAACCTACTTTTGCCTAACATTGTACATACTCGGTTTAAATGCTGGATTTTTAAATTATTTTTTATGATTATAAAATTAATATACAATCTATGGGGAAAAATCTCCAAAACAGAGAAATATTTAAAAAATTAAGAGGTCACTCGTGCTCCTTTCGCCAGTCTTACCTCTCTCTCCTACAATAACATTAGGGTTCACTTTGGTTTTTGTTAAGTAACTGATATTTAAAATGCTTATGATAACTGAGATCTTTGGATGCTATTTTTAAACATTTTTATTCTATAAACTAACATTGTTTGTTAACTTAATCTTGAGATGGAGATTCCTGGCCAACTGGCATTTTCTCTGTGTTCCCACAGCAACTGGGAATATCTATCTCTATCACAGCAATCAACTAGATTTCCTATGGACCATTAGCTCCTTGAAGGTTGGGACTATAACTTGTTTAATTTTCTATTCTCAGAACCTGACACCATCCCTGATATATATGGTTGAAACCTGAATGCTGACCAACTGAATTTTATCTTATTTGCTTAAAAAATTCAAGTGAATACACTTCAAATGCATGTATGCCTATGACTATTTCATTGGAGAAAAATAGTCCCTGTTAATATATTTTCAAATTTATCATGTTATGACTTCTGTTTACAGTTCATTGGCCAAGAGTTAGGTCAGATAGTCACACCTACCTGCAAGGAAGGCTAGGAAATGCAGGCATTATTCTGGGTGGTTTAGTAAATTGATGAGGTTTTATAAAAAAAAAAAAAATACAACATGGGGATGCATGATGATAAGAATGTGAGTTATTTCCAAGATTTATTCTAATTATGTTATATGCATAGATTTAGGGGAACAGTTGCTGTTTCTTACATTTACAAGATGCACTGGTACTTCTGACTCAGACTTATTTGCTCTTTTATGTAGTTCAGAAAGGTATAAAGAACATTTGAAATTATAAAGAAAAAATGTGCTAACTTCCCTTTTTCCATATATGGCTAGAGCATTATAAATAAAAGTTAATAAAATCTGTATATTTACCATATAATTAGTTTTCTCTTGAATTTTTTCCAAATCCAGGAAACCCATTAGCCAATTTGAAACTATCCTAAATAATTATGGAGACAAGTGAGGGGCATCTAGGAAAAGGCCTTTTTTCCCCCTGCAGAGAAAGTGAAGCCCAGGCGGCTGAAAAGGAATGCATGGAGAAATAAGAGAAAAACCAGGAGATGCTCGCCAATAAAAATGCAAATGTCTAGAAGGTGTGATCAATAATACTATATGCTGCATAAAATTTGAGTAAAATCCTGAAAAGTACCCACTAAATTTTTTAACTTTAATAATGAAACATTTCATATATACAAAAGGAAACACAATTTATAGGGAAGATATAACTAAAAAAACCTGTACTCACCATCCTACTTTCAGAAACAGAACATTACCGAGACCTTTGATGCCTTTTGCTCTCACACGGCGCACCAGCCTGTAAATGAGATTGCTACTTTTCTCCTGATATCTGTGCTCTGCCTCCCTGTTCAAAACTCCTGAGTTTGGGCTGGGCACATTTGTTAAAGCTTCTTGAATCTAAAATTTTCTGAATTCTAGCCAGAAGACTAGGAAGAGAAGTCCTGTATGCAATGTCCAGGATGTGACCGTAAGAAGGACACGTATTCCTTTATTCTCCTGCCTTGCTACTTGTCACATAGCTGTGGTGGGGAGCCGCTGTAACCATGTGGAGGAGGGTAGTGCTCCAAGCATCAAACAGGCAGAAAAGCCTGGCTCCTAGGTAACCATGGAAAGCATAGCTGTCATGCCCAGAATATTTTCAATCCGTTACAAGACAAAGAAATAAACTTACATCTTGTTCATGTCGTTATTTGAGGTTTCTGTCAAATGCAGCCAAACCTGTATAACTAATATAATGTGACTCCTTAATCATATTTTTCTCTCAACTTCCAGGAGTAACTGCTATCCTGAATTTTAATTTTTATCATTTCTTTAATTTTCTTTATAGCTTTTCTACATAAGTATATGTAATTCTGTATAATTTACTACTTAAATCTGTATGCTTTAAAATGTATATAGACATGCCCGGCTGGTGTGGCTCTGCATCAAGAGGTCGCCAGTCCGATTCCCGTCAGGGTACATGCCCAGGTGTGGGCCCAATCCCCACCAGAGGGCGTGCAGGAGGCGGCCAATTAATGTTCTCCCTCATCGATGTTTCTCTCTCTCCCTCTTCCTCTCTCTAAAATCAATTTTAAAAAATGTAGATAGAACAATGTTAAGTATATTTTCCTGCTTTATTATTCAAAATTATGTGCATTCAATTTATAATTCTCATGTTTATAAATATCTAGACTGTTTCTAGTTTTTTATTATGGAGCATGCTATTGTGAATATCATACAGGAGTGGGCAAAAGTAGGTCTACAGCTGTTCATATAAAAATAATACAAATAAATAATACAATAATTAACATTAATTTTTGCATACTCACAAACATAAACCTACTTTTGTCCACTCCTGTATTTGTGTCTGTCACATAGGTCTAAGAAATTCTCTATAGTGCACTGATAGAAATGGAATTACTACATTATACAAATGCATGAATGTACATATTCAACTTGACTAGATGATATACTGTATTACAAGGTAGTTGTAACCGACACTTCAACAGAGCAGATCTTAGTTCTTACTGCTTCAGATCTATGCCAATATAGTTATTGTCAGTCTTCTTATTTTTGCCAGTCTCAGAGCATACAAATAATATCTCATGGCTGAAATCTGCATTGCTGTGTACTATTTAATTTGAGCACCTTTTCATACCTATAATTGGCCCTTCACTTTTCCTTCTTTGGAGAAATACGTTCTGATGAGGTTTTTTTTATTGGGATGTCTTTTCCTTATTGATTTTTAAGTTCGCTTTATACACTCTAGAAAGTTACAAATTGTATGTTCTATGTATTGCTCTGTTTGAGCTTCTTTACACTTTCTTTGTGTTACCTTTTGATCAACATTCTTAGCTTAAATGTTTCCTTTTTAAAATATTTACCCTAGAGGTGCCAGGACCATACAATTTTAATGGGGGAAAATAGTCTCATCAATAAATGGTGCTAGAAGAACTGGATATTCACAATTAGGGAACAAAAAAATTAAACTGCACTCCTGCCTAACACCATATACAAAATTAACTCAAAATGACCTACATATAAGAGCTTAAAGCCATAAATACCTTAGTAGAAAACAGGGACAAATCTTCATTATCTTGGATTAAACAATGGGATCTTAGGTATGACACCACAAGCACAAAACACAAACAATAGATAACATGGACTTCATCAAAATAAAAAATGTATGCATCAGAAACATTAAAAAATAAAAAGAAAATCTGCAGAATGAGAAAAAATATTTAGAAAATATATATCTGATAAGGGACTAGCATCAAGAATATATAAAGAGCCCTGGGTAGTGTGGCTCAGTTGGTTGGAACATCGTCCTGTACACTGAGAGATCATAGGTTCAATTACTGGTCCGGGCACATACCCAGGTTGCAGGTTGGATCCCAGTAGGGGCGCATGTGGGAGGCAACCAACTGGTATTTCACTCTTGCATTGATGCTCCTTCACACCCCCAACCCTGTCTCGCTAAAAAAAATAAACAAAACATATCCTTGGGTGAGGATTAAAAAAAAAATCAATAGACAAGATCAATGAAACTATAAACAAAATTGACAAACATTTAGCCAAACTCATCAAGAAAAAGAGAGCCAAAATAAATGAAAGAAGTTACAACCAACAACACAGAAATACAAAAAGAATCATTAAAAAAATACTACAATCATATGCCAACATATTCAATAATCTAGAAGAAACATTAGTTTGTAGATGCATGTAACCTTCTAAGACTGAACCAGGAAGAAATGGAAAATCT